AAGATTTGGATCCTGAGTCTGCTGTGTACCATATGCACACAGCTCTCTAAGGACAGATTATCTCCCAGCATGCTCATCTTGATGTCTCAACAGGGCAGGTAATATCTCAGTAACCAAGTGAAGGAGAGATCTCAAAGGACCTGGGAGGAGATACATGCCTTCTGTAGAAGCAGAACACTTTCACTAAGAAGAGTGCTTCTAGTTCTAAGACACTGGCACATTATTAACACAGTCACACTCCCTTGTGGGTTTTTAGCTGTACATTTATCATGATGTGACTCAATGTGCATGCTTTCACTTTTGCTTTTCATTCTATGACTTCAATAGAGATTGAACACCTAGAAATACAATACCTTGAAAAGTGTCGATTGACATTTTCACTTAAGATTTCCATGCTTTTGTCAAAGCTCGACTCTGAGCAGCGTTGCATGTTTTTTCTCATCGATCTTAAACAGTGTCCATTGAAACATTCAATGTTGCCAGAGGAAAATTTCTAGGAAAAGAAGGAAGGATGTATTTATCTGAACCACCTATTCCTCATTTGATCAAGTTTAGTCTGTTACACTCCTGATTCAATAGGGTTGCAACCAATGGCAGGGAAGCCTCGAACCACTTCTGCACCAAGAAGCAGCTCTGATGAAAAAAACACACCAGACTTCAAAGAAAAAACCTGAAATCTTTTATTTCAAAATGGGTTCAGTGACCCCAATAACCAAAATCTCACCTGTAATGTGCAATTGTTCCACCCCTTTGGGAAGAGCCAAAAATTACACTACTTTGGGGGTTTGGGACAAAAACCAACAACCAAACAAATAAGCAAAACAATAGAGAGGAAAGCCCCTCTGCTTGCTTTGGATCAGCTGATGGACTGTGTCACTCCTTGTCCCTGAAGGAACACCTTTAGGCGAGGTCTGTCCTCCCAACTGTCTTGGAACAGACCTGGGAATATTTACTCAGATCTATTGCTAATAGATCTCTGTCACTATTCCTTTGGTAACAGCACATATTAACACCCTGTAGCTGGTGCATTTACCACCAGCAATTGAGAATCTACTTTCCTTTCACTTCAATTACCTGCACTATTTGTGAATCTGAATCCTCTAAGTTCCTACAGAACTCAGCCAGGCAGGCAGTGTCCAATGGGCTATAGACAGAGTTAGGCCCAGCTGCACCCAGCTCTTCTGATCTCTGAGGAGCAGCTGGAACCTAAGGGGGTTCATTTTCTGCTAGATTTCTATATATTTAATGCAACAGAAAAATTCCTAGTACTGGGATTAAAATCTTTTTGGAAGAGTTTTCCTCCTGTCTCTGTTCCATTTATAATGACATTCAGAGGGATATAAAAAGACTTCCTTCCAGAGGGCAGCATTTATCCACAGAAAACCAAAGGGAACTCAGGATACAGTTCTTCATGGATGTTCATCTTGTTCACATTGGTGTTTCTGCAAGGAGGATGCTATTGACTTTTACTGTGTGAGGAAAGCTGCAATGACCATGGGAAGCACTTGTTCCATTTACAACCCAAGGTCTCACTGCAAGTATGCCAAACTAAATCTCATACTAAGAAGGGCAGAAACCAGACTGGATTACTCTTCTAACACTGATGTTACCAAGAGGTAACTCCACTGATTGATAGAGATGATGAGTGAAGAAGGAACACAAGGATGTCGAGAGGTTATGCAGGGAGAAAATTACAAGGGCTACAGCCCAAACAGAATTTAATGTGACTACTGCCATAAAAGATGACACAAAATATTTTTACAAATATCTCAGCAAGAAAAGGAAGACTAAAGAGAATCACCATCCTTCACTTGATGCACAGGCAAATATATGACAATGGATGAGGAAAAGGCAGAAGTACTTTGCCTCAGTCTTCAACAGTGAAACCAGCAGTCCTCATGGTACCCAGACAGGGACAGAGAGCAGAATGAAGCCCCCATAACCCAGGAGGAAACAGCCAGTGACCTGCTACACCACTTGGACACCCACACTTCTACAGACCCCAGCTGGCAGATGAGCTTGCCAACTCACTTTCATAGAACCATTAAGGCTGGAAAAGAACTCCAAGATCGAGTCCAACCTTTGAATGATCATCACCAAGTGCCACATCCAGTTATTTCTTGAACACTTCCAGGGGTGGTGACTCCACACTTCCTTGTGCAGCCTGTTCCAAGACTTAACCACTCTTTTTGTGAAAAATTTCTTCCTGATGTCCAACCTGAACCTTCCCTGGTGCAGCCAGAGGCTACATCCTCTTGGCCTGTCACAGGTTACCTGAGACAAGAGGATGATCACCTACAACCTCCTTTCAGGTAGTTGTTGAGGGTGATCAGGTCTTCCCTGAGTCTCCTTTTCTCCAGGTTAAACAACCCCCAGCTCTCTCATCTTCTCCTCACATTACTTACTTTCTAGACCTTTCCCAGCTCTGCTGTCTTTATCAGGACACATCCTAACACCTCAATATCTTTCTTGTCATGAGAGGCCAGCACTAGACACAGGATTCAAGGTGTGGCCTCACCATTGCTGAGCACAGCAATCACTGCCCTGGTCCTGCTGGCCCCATTGTTTCTGATACAGGTCAGAATGCCCAGACAAAAAAGGGAACTCTGGAGCACACTGCCCTCAAATACAGGTCACAAGAACAAACTTGTTCAGCTTTGGGAATTATAACCCTATAACTACGGTTATAGACCTGGAGATACACAGCTTCCAAAGGGACAGCAGCCAATTGGATCTCACTGGGACACTCACTCATGAAACTTAGTGGGACTGGAAACCTGGAAGAGAATAAACCAAGCAGATGTTTGTTTACCTTAGATCTCCTGTTGTATGGTTCTTACAGTCTATGGATGAAATGAGCTGTATAACTAAAGATAAACCATATGCTGATATCAGAAAAAAAAAGCAAAAGCTGCCACCACCACGTCCTTGCACATCAACAAGACAGGAAAGAGGCATCAGGACTTGAACATGAAGCTAGCACCAGTTCTCATGATCTCTGTCAGATGGAGCAATTCTACATTATCTCTACAGATAAAACTCCCAGGAGAGCCCAGCATCCTACAAATGAGGTGATGAGCTCATGCTCAATGCACAGGAAAAAGGAAGGGAAAAAACCCCCAAAAAACAAACAAACCCAAACCAAAGAATAACCTTGCAACCAGTTTCATAGCAATGATTCTGCTTTGGTTTCAGGAACGACTTTACATTTAGCTTCCTCATTCCTGTTTTCCACACGGAGAACACATGCCAGCAGGATTATCTGCCTAATGCTTCACAGCCTTCCCTCCTGAGCAAAGGCTGAACTAGCCCCCAAGAACCATTTCTAGTGGAGACTGCAAAAACAAAGCAGTGATCTTTAAGAAGATTCCATGACTCTTTGTAAGGGGGGTAAAAAACCCACCACTGCAAGGACTTTTCCCTTTTCAGTTCAGTAGACTTGAATATAATGGCACAAAATATAAAAATATAAAATTAATTCATACAACTGAGACTCCTGAAAGACTGCTGCTGGAAGGAAACAGAGTCTTTGAGAAGCATCACTCCAGGGCAGGGTGCCCCTGAAGAACAGGCCACTTCTGAGTGGGACCTGGTCTGCCTTTATTTGTCACAGAAATGCAAGACAGCCTGCAGAGTAGAGCCTGACTTGGAAATAGCAGAGGAAAGTTTTAGTTTTTCGAAAGCTATGTTAAAAACAATGGAAAGTGCAATGATTCAGTTATTACAGCTGCAATGCTGAGATGCAGAGAGCACAGGCCACTTGGTATTTATCCTTTACCATCGTCCAAGTTCTCTCTCTTCCATTAGGGCAGATCAAGATTATAGAAAGCTCAAGTTACATTTTCACCGGCTTAGGTTATGCACTTTAATTAAGTACAAATGAACCCTGATTTCTACACGTTTTCTTTTTTAGAGCATGCAAAATACTATTTGGATACACTTGACTAAGGAGTATTTAGCAGGCCCTTCGGAGCAACCAGAACGCCCTCAGAGGTCCCATATATTTGGTGTCGCGCCGGTTTTGATGCATTTCTGTCATCTAAACAGAGAGCGCTCCATAAGCATTACTGCAACTAAAGCAAAGAGCTGTCTAAGACCTCCTCAAGGTAACTTTTTCAGATAAGGAACTGAACCAAAATAAACGGGCATGGGGAATGTCATACAACACACCAAACCATGAGGCTATGCAGGTTTGTATTCCCAAAGGCCGGCTCTCAGGTCGCTGCCACGGCTCCAGGACCAGGGCTTGTGCCGAGCCCCCTTTAGCGGGGGGCGGCCGGGAGCGGAGGGCGGACCGGCTGCTTCCTCACACACCCCCAACCGCCGCCGCCTGCCCCAAAACCTCGATTCTCCCCTCTTTTTCTCCTCCACGGAACACCACTCGGCAGCGCTTTCTGCGCTCCTCCCAGCGGCTCCCGGCCAGCCCCGGCTCCCCCCGCCGCCTCTCCGGGCCCGCAGCCCAGCGCTGCCCGCCAGGCCGTGCTCACCCCACCCCCACCCGCCACTCACGGCCTCCTCGGCTCTCCTGGCGCCCCTGGACACCGCGGCCTTGGCGGACCCGGAGCGCGTCCATACGCGGTGGCTTCTGAGCGCGGGGGACTCCAGGGAGATGAACTCGGAGCTGGAGTCCAGGAGGTCGAAGGGGGGCCGCCGGCAGCGGCTGTCGCGGGCAGCCATGCGGGGCGGGCGGGCAGCGCTGCTCCGCAGGACCACCATGGCGAGGGGGACGCGGCCCCGCGCCCGCCGGCCGCGCGCGCCGCCCGGATCCCTCCGCCGCGCTCCCTCCCTCGCGCTCCGCTCGCCCCTGCGGCCGCTACTCCCAGCCCGCGCGCGCTGCGGAAGGGCACGCGGCGCACTGCGGCTCCGCGCGCCGCAGACGTTTGGCGCCCAAAACTCGGAGCGCTGCGCCGGCGGCGCGGGGCGGGGCTGGGTTCGCTCGCGGCTCCGCCCCGTCCTGTCCCGCCCGCCCGCCCGAGGGGTCCCTGCACCGCCCGCTGCCGCCCCGGCCGTACCCGCGCAGTGCCCGCGCCCAGCCGGGATGGCCGCGGCTTCCTCGGGGACGGCATAGCGGCTGCTCCCGCCGGGCCCAGCGCTTTCTGCGCCGCCCTCAGCCCCGCTCAGACCGGCCATGGCGCGGCCCGAGGCTGGTTATGAGGCGGCGGTGCCGCCCCGCCCCGCCTGCACCTACACCAGCTGCTACTGGTAAGGGAGACGGGGACGGGCGGGCCGGTGCCCCTCGCACCGCCGTGAGGCGCCGGGACAGCCGGGGCCACCGCGGGAATGGCGCGGCTGCGGGCTGGTCACACTCTTGGGCTCGCTTCTCGTCACGAGAAATGAAGTTGGAGGAAAACAAAATAAATAACCGATTTTGTGTTTTGCAGCGAAGAAAATGTTTGGAAGCTTTGTGACTACATCAGGAGTCAGGATCGGTACCCTTTAGAAGAATTTTACGCTGTTTTCATATCCAATGATAAGAGGATGGTGAGTCAATGGGATATGATCAGAGACAGCTGTGGAAAGGCTCGGGCCTTCAGACCGCAGCCCAGTGTAGGTGAGAATGGTCCCAGCCCAGTGTTGGGGTGTGAGCCTTTAGCCCAGCCCGTAGGTGAGATTCAGTCCAAACCTGTCCTGTAGCTCGCTTTGGCTCAGAGGTGTGCCAGCCGCACCACGTGGGCTCTTTTAATTATGCACTGCATTCAGGACGGTGGAATGAGACATGGTGTCCCTGTGAGCTGTGGGAGTAATTCTGGCTGTAATCTGTCAATTTAGGAGAATAGTTGTCTTTATAAAATCATAGAACCATTAATAACTGTAAGAGAAGAGAAGACCTCTAAGACTATCAAGTCCAACTGCTAACCTGACACCACTATGTTCACTACTAAACCATATCCTCAAGTCTTTTGGATCATTCCAGGGATGGTGATTCCATCACACTTCTTTTTAATGTGGCTCAGAGTAGTATCTCCAATTTCATCCTCCTGAGAGATAAACTAGAAAAAACTTTCTTACTGCAGCACAGATGTAAGCTGAGGAAACTGATAGGTTAGCAAAAAAAAACTAACCAGTTTACCTGCAATTAATCTGTATTAATCTGAAAGATTTTATTCAATTCAGGTTCATATTTAACTTTCAGATTCCACTCTGGAAGCAGAAATCTGGACATGGAGATGAGCCTGTTGTCTGGGTAAGGCATTCATTACTCTCAATAATTTTGAGTGTGTGCCTCTGTAGTTGATAGCTGCAGAATCACACATGGACATGTAACAATCTGTTCCATCTGAATATAAAGGAACACTTTCTCCTCTGAGGGTGATGGAGCACTGGAGCAGGTTGCTCAGAGGGATTGTGGAATCTCCATCCTTGGAGATTTTTAGAAGCTATCCAGACACTGTCCTGGGCAGTTGGCTTTAGGATAGTCTTATTGAGCAAGAGATTGGACCAGATGACCTTTTAAAGTCCCTTCCAACTCCACACATTGCATAGTATTGCATTAATATTTATAATTCTTTTACAACACATTTATAAATAGCCTAAATCTAGTGCTCATTTGCACCATCCCTCATAAATTAATAGCAGGACAGTCAGTAAAACCTATAGGTGATAAGTCTTAATTACAGTAAGAATGCATAATAGATTTGTGAAAATTGTTATCTGGGTATTGAGGCTGCCAGCTCTGTAGTGTTCTAGGTAGATGACTGTACTTGTAAGAAGTAGATGGATGAACATATTTATGCCAGAGGATAGAAGAGTGTTAGTTATGTGTGTATTCAGGTGTCAGCAGTTAAACTGACCCATAAACAGTGGCTTTGAAATGTCATTTGATCAGTTAATGTAGTTCAGTAATTGCTGATGCAGAATTCCTTGGTATCATTATAGGGTCCTTTCAGTTATCTGGCACAGAAAAAACTATTTCTTGTGGCAGTTTCTGTTTCTGAAATTCTGCAGAGTAATCTGCAAACTTGTGAAGTTTTCTGATTTCTGAATCATTCACTTTCTTCCAAAGTATTGGTAGCTTTATGGTGCAAAAAAAAAAAAAAAAAAAAGTTTGGTTTAAAAAGAGATCCAAGTGCTACAGAGAAGACCTAAAAGGGAATAGCAGAGTCAGGAAAGGCCATGGCAGAATGTGGATTTCTCCTAAAAATTCATAGATTCAAAGGTCTTTTAACTTTGACATTTTAATGGATCATAGGCTGTATAAAGCTTGTAAACTAATTTTTCTTATGCCCTCTAATAGGTTTTTCTAAATATTGTTGAATCTAGTTGTGTATGTATATTGGTCTGGTGAAGTAGATTGCCCAAATCTTTTTCATACAAATGTCTTTGTGGTTTTAATATTGAAAGTGTCAAAAGACATTGCTCAACCCTTTTTGTGAGTGGATTCAATATAAATTTAAGTAATTTGTTAAGGGCTACCTTCAATTTAATTTTGGAAAACAGCAGTGCACATACCTGACATATAATGTCAGTAATTGCAGTGTCCTCAAATCTCCTCCTGTGTTTCTTACAAGGTAAGGAGTAAAACTGCACTGAATAACCCCTTGATAAAATAAATAGTTGCCTTGAAAAAGTGTGATGTAGATATCTTTGCCAGCTTCAAGAGCTGCTAGAGGAAATTGTCTCACTCCTGTGGTCCTCCTGATCTGAGCTGTTTGCTGGTTTTTCAGTGGTGTGCTGGTTTTTCAGGTGCTTCTGGCAGCTGAACACTCGACACTCAAATTCACAGACCGTGTTACTGCAACAGGTACAAAATCTCTTATTAGAAGAGATCACTAGGTAAATTTAATGTTAACCTATCATTTTTTCTTGTGAGTTTATTTATGACTGAGTCTAATAAAAAGTGATAACCGAACAACTTTTGTGTTTTGATGTGGAACATGAGAGAGATTTTCTGTTTTCTTAGGAGTAGTGTAAACTTTAGTTTGCTGTCTTGGCTTAAATCAAAGGAGGCTGCAAAGAAACGGGGAGAATAGCAAGGTTTCTGGAAGAGCAGATGGGCAAGATAGACATTAGGAAATCTCTCTCCTGTTGCCAGAAATGTTACAGGCTTAATATTCAAGGACAGCAAGCAGGCTTTAAAAACTGGATCTGAACTTATGCTTTTAGAAAGATCTTTTTTTTTTTTTTTTTTTTCATTCTCTTTGCCAATTTCTTATTAATTGCTGTTGAACTAATGGCAATTCCCCTTCTTCCCAGGACTACCATGTTATTCTACTTCATCTTTCCAGCCGGGAGCAGAACTTCATTTATGATCTTGACACAGTGTTGCCATTTCCCTGTCCTTTTGATGTGTACAGTGTGGAGGCCTTCAGGTTGGATGACAGCCTTCGGCCAGAGTTTCACAGGTGATGATGACATGAAATAGAAAGACTATGGATGTTATTTCATGAAATCAAAGTTGAAGTTCTCTTTGTGTATGCATAGTGACAGAGGTTTCTTTACTGTACTTCAGTAAAATAAATGCACTGTGTTACTTTTCTAAAGCTTTTTACTTTAGTCATCAAAAGCCCTTTTCTTTCCTACTGTAGCTTTATGTTAACAACTTGGCCCAAAGTTGCTGGTTTGTGTATTTAAAAACATTAGTGCTCCTTGATGAGAGCAAGAAAGTATTCTTATTCTGAGTGATTATTGCAGTATTGTGTACATGCATCTTTTAATACAATTTTGCATTTTGTTTTTAGGAAAATCAGAATGATTCGAGCAGATTTGTACTTGAAGACATTTGCTTCAGACAGATCTCACATGAAGGATGCAAATGGGAAATGGCAGAAACCTCCTCCTCCATACCCTTGCATTGAAACTGCAGGTGAGCTCCCAGGACTCCTTCCTGCTTACAGTGCTGAATGAAGTAGTCCAGGATGCACATGGGAAATAAATAACTTCTATAACATTTGTCCAGCCAGTTTATCACTTCATATGGGAAAAAAATAGGGCTGTGAAGCATTTGGCACTCTCTTTTTTGAACACATAGTCTAACATCCCTTCTGGCCTTTACTGGTATCAAACATTAGTTACTGATATTCACAAACTGAGCAGAGGGTGGAGGTAAGTAATACTATTACAGCAGGGAACTGAAGCAGACAGGCCAAATAACTTGCTTAGGGATCACAAAATTTTTTAGTGATTTCACACAGTGATTATACCACACTCTAGCACACAGATCCCATTCTGGCAAAGTAGTGTTGGCAGGAGGAAGTTTTCACTCTGCTCAGTGTGGTGGGTTTGCCTGCATGAAATGTTTGAAGTTTCTGTACCAGGTGAATGGACCCCAGGATATTTTAAGTCACTGGCAAGTTCTTCCTAAGCCTTAAGCCTTGTGTAAGTGATTACCTCTCTCTGCCTGGCCCAGAGGCTGACTTGCCACCTATTCTGTAGAGCTGCTTAAAGCATTCTTATCACACAGCACTTCAGCTTATTCTAATCATCTGTTTTGCAAGCTGAGTAACATTTGCCATGTGTGTGTTTGTTTGTACTCTCATTTTCTTCCAAGGAAAGCATGGTGACATTTTGCCTTGAAAGAGTTTGAAAGAGTTTTCATGTTACTGCTCTGCATGTTTGGTTTTGTTGATTTTTAATAATGCAGTACTGCTATGTGTTTATGTTAGAGAAGGGAGGGTCAATGAAACATAGCTCTGTCTTTAGGTCCAGATGGTTTTAAGTTGCTGGCAAATTAATTCTCAGTCTTTGCTTTGGCTTCTAAGGAAGCTTGGTGTTTCACATGAGAGTAGAAATGAATTATGGGAGTGAGCAGGAACACAGATGTAGTCTTTGTTATGAGGCTTTAGGTGTTTTCTAGACAATCCAGGTTATGAAGCACCTTGAATTCTAGCTCTTGGTTATTATTTTCAGCAGTTTTATGCACAGGTATTGTAGAGAGTGTAGGATTCCTGAACTACAGTGAATGGTTCTCTGTTAGCTGGAGCCTTGTAGGTGCTGAGACCTTTTTTGTCTGTGGAAACCTTGTTGTTTTGATAGCTGAGAGCTAATGAAAGCGTGAGAAGTATAGATGAGGTCAGACCAGGAAAGCAAAAAATTCTATTCAAATCAAAAGAGTAAAAAAAACCATTACTTGTGGGTAGTAGGTTACATAATGACTCAGTTGCAGATGTGTTCATGTATCTCTAGCTGGAATACATGACTCCATAGCTGCAAACCCTGTAACTCTCCCCTTGCCTGTTGTGTCTGGCTGAGCTTTACCTCACTGGTGAGCAGCAGCCACGGGTCTCAGCCAGCCTCCAGATTCTCAGTGGTGCTGGTAGATAGTGAAGGATATGTACCTCTTACTTCCTCCTTTGCTTTCATTCTTTGCTCTATACTTTGCCATGCTGAATGAAATGTCTGTTGGTTATCCAGTCCAACATCTGCCCAAAAGAGGTATTCCTCAGGGCTCTGTCCAGTCTGGTCTTGAACACCTACAGAGATGGTGATTCCACCACTTTGTGGACAGTGTTCCAATGTTTGACCACTGGTAAACAACCAATGAATAAAAAATCCTAGTATATAATCTGAATTTCAGATGTTCCAACTTGGATTTTTAATTTCTTGTCCTGTTGCCAGGCTCCTCCAAGAAGACTCTGGCTCCACTCTCCTACCTCTGATCAGGTAGATGTAGGGAGTAGTAATGTCTCCCCTTTGTCTTCTCTTTTTAAGACTGAAGAGACCCAGTTCTCTGAGCCTCTCCTTGAATAAATGTTGTCCTGCACCAAACAACTTGATTTTCCTCTTCTGGGCCTATTCCAGTGTGTCCATATTTTGGAGGGTTTTTTTTGGGCTGAGCTCCAAATGGACACAGCACTGTGCTGATGTGCTCTGGTCTCCTGTTCAGTTGGCTGAAAGAAACTTGTTACCTTGCACCCACTGAAGGTAAAAAGTCATTCACTAGGGAGCTTCAAGCTCTGAGTCAAAACAGGACTAGATTGTCTCAGATCTAGGACGTCCAGTTCAAGTTTTGGTTCATTTAGTACCAGTTCCTCCAGCTTTACTCTTTGTCTTCCCTTTGTATTCACTGAGATACTTTATAATGATGTGTGCTTCAATGTGCACAGTGCTGTGAGTCTGTGAGGAGTCTGGGTCCAACTGTAATGTCTCAGCACAGTTTTATCAGGCATAAAGCTGCCTTATTTTTAACTTGATGTGAAACTGGGTGGCAGACCTTTTGTTATCATAAAAGAGCCTGGGGTATTAATGTTCATGTCCATGCCAAATTCCATTGCAGATAACTTTTTTCTCCCTGCCGTTTCACTTTGATAGAACAGTCTGCTTTCCGTGTTGATTTGTGTTTGCCTAAGATTAAATTACTTGTATATTTCATGTTAGAGGTGACTGCAATATAATGGCTGACAGAACTGACCCCATATTGTTTTAATACCAATTTATTTGTGAGACAAATTTCTGTCAGAGCAAGTTTGTTTTGCTTTTTGGGTTTTTTTTTTTTTTTTTTTTGCTGTTATTTAGAATAACCAAATTCCTAAGCTTTTGAGAAGATGCAAGGTTTTTATATTCCTTCTGTTTCTTATTTGTGTTCTTTGATGTTCGTGGCAGTTTGACCCTGCCTGGATGCCAGGTGCCCACCAAAGTTGCTCAGTCACTCTCACCCACAGCTGTACAGAGGAGAGAAAATGCAATGAAAACTCATGAGCTGAGATAAGGATGGGGGGACATCACTCACCAATTACTGTCATGGGCAAAACAGACTTGACTTAGGGAAATTAGTTCAATTTATTACCAGTCAAAATCAGAGCAGGATAATGAGGAGCAAAACAAATCCTAAAAACACCTTTCCTTCACCCCTCCCTCTTTACCAGTCTTAGCTTTATTCCCAATTCTCTACCTCCTCCCTCCCCCCTCAGTGGGGAATGGTGGTCACAGTTCATCACAGGTTGTTTCTGCCACTGCTGCTCAGGGACAGGAGTCCTTCCCTTGCTCCAGTGTGGGGTTCCTCTCATGCAGTTCTTCATGAACTTCTCCAATGTGAGTCCATCCCATGGGCTGCAGATCTTCGTGAACTGCTCCAGTGTGGCTCCCTTTCCACAGGATGCAGTCCTTCAGGAGCAGGCTGTTCCTGCATGGGTCCCCCACAGGGTCACAAGTCCTGGCACCAAACCTGCTCCAGCCTGGGCTCCTCTCTCCATATGTCTGCAGGTTCCTGCCAGCAGCCTCCTCCAGCATGGGCTTCCCACAGGGTCACAGCCTCCTTTGGGCACCCACCTGCTCCAGCCTGAGGCTCCTCTATGTGCTGCAGGGGCACAGCTGCCTCACCATCATCTTCACCACGGGCTGCAGGGGAATACCTGCTCTGGTGCCTGGACCACCTCCTGCCCCTTGTCCTTCACTGACCTTGGTTTCTGCAGAGTTGTTTCTCCCACGTATTCTCACTCCTCTCTGGCCACAATTACTTCTGTGCAATAGCTTTTTTAAATTTCTTAAAGGAAGAGGTACTACAGCAATCACCAATGGGTTCAGCCTTTGCCAGAGGTGGGTCCGTCCTGGAGCTGGCTGGCACTGGCTCTGTTGGACATGGGGGAAGCTTCTAGAGGAGCCAGTCCTACAGCCCTCCCCTGCTACCAAAGTCTTTTGTAATTGAATTGAGCAATCTTGATCATTAACAAATGAAGCATTTTTCTCCTACTAGTACCTCAAAGGGAATAAATCTTAAACTGTATTTGTCCTGCTCATGGGGTTGCAAAATAAATCATCAAAAATAAGCTTACACGGAGTCATAAATTCCAGTCTATGCCTAAAAAAATTGAAGCTGGCATAAGGTGATTTTTAAAAGCATTTCTCTAAAAGACAAACAGCTCCAGTCCAATCAATAAAACAACAATAAAAAAAAACCCCAAACCCTCTCAGACTCCTCAGTATCTCCTCAGAACTCACATGCTAAGCATTAGCTTCTTGGATCTGGCTCTTCTCTAGCTGTTTCCCAGAGTTAGGCCTCTGTGTCTTTTACTGGCATTGCTCTGGCCTCTGTTCTGCTCTGCTGCCATGGATTGCAGAAGGGGCTGGCCAGCCTAATTGGCTGCACCAGCTTTCTCACCCTGCCCTGTCCTCAAAGCTGCTCTGCTGGAATAAACATACCTGAGCTGCAGAGCATTCCCCTGGTCCCACCTGTTTGCCAGTGACCTCCTGTTGAAAAAAACAGGATATTTTGTTAAAATAATAAAAAAACGAGATTTGGTGAACAGATTCATTATTCTAGAGCTGGTGAGCCCAACCTTTGGTTTTCTTTTAAATCTTCTTTCCACAAATTAATGAGTTCTGATTCTGTTTAGTTTATGACTTAGGATGAGATCAGCCCTCCTTACTGCAAGCCTGTGTAAAATGCAGTACAGTGTTTTTCCAAATTACTCCAGACAGATGGTTGTGTGGCTTATGTGCAAATGTTAGCAGCAGCTCTAACACTGAAAAGCACTGGTTTGAATTTCAGTTCTCCCAAGGTGTTCAGTAACACACTTGCTGGATTGATTTGTAAAAGCTTTTTGTTCTTTTTATTATTAATAAAATTCCTGGTAGTCAATAATGATGAGATTTTACTTGGTTTTTAAATTTATTTTGAAGACCATGAATAGGACAGCTGAGAAATTCTGGAGACACTGTGTATCAAACATATATGTAACAGGAAATCTCTCAGACAGAGACCCAGCAGATGTCTGCAGTTGCTTTCTGTATCTCCTCTCTGAAATGGCAGCAGGATCCTAGTGAAAGTGAAAAGGCACTGATAGGGATACCAGCAGCTCCTATGCACTTCATGGAACCTTCTGCTGCTCTCATTTGAGACTAAGACTCCAGTCTCTAAAGTTAGGTCCTTACTTTGTAAGCTTTTGTGGAAGTAATGAATCAAGTAAGATAGATACAATAAAGACACAACTGGCAAGAAGCATTTAAATTGCCAGAGTGGCTTGTTGAAGTTACACCACTTTCTGCAAAATATAAAGTGGTAAGTTGTGTTTTACAGCCAGGATGGTTTGCACAGTCAGTTTTATCTTAAGGGTGGAGACAGCAGCCCCCCAGCTGAGAGTGGGAAGAGTCCTTCTGACTTATCTCCCTGCTCAGACGAGGGAGGAGGATCTGAAGAGAGCTGTAAACACCTACACAAGTGTGTGAAGAGTCCAGCTTTCGTTTAGTTGCCCCCAAGGTTTTAGGCATCAGCAGAACTGATCTTGGAGGCTTTGTTCCAGACTTCCCTGCTTCCAGCAGCCCTTGGGCAGCTGTTGTTACACTGAGTTAGTCCAAGGTCTGTGAGCCAAGCTGAGGCTTGGCTTAAACGCTGCTTTCTAACTATTGTTGGCAGAAGCCACAAGTATCATGGCTAATAATGCCTGAGATAGTGAGTGGCCTTTTATTTGCTTGGGGTAAAAGTGGCAGACGTGATTTAAACAAAAATAAAGTTATGCAGGAATCCCAAAATGGGCCAGACTGGTCTCATTTGGGGGGGTTGTGTGTAACAAAGTTTGGTCAAAGAGGAAGATGGAGCTGTAGACATTGCACAAATGCAAGCTAGTATAGCAGTCACAGCACCTGAGGGGGACTGCAAGGGTAATGTAAATCTTAAAATAAAATAATTCTGTTGCTGTTGGTCTTGTAAAAATATTGTAGGATACATGCTCTGTGCTTTTGTGGAGAGACCATCTCCATCTTGGTTTGCCAGCTGTAGCATCCAGGTGTATCTTTTTAAAATTCTGATGTTTGTCATTCTTATCTGCTTCGGGAAGAGGACTTTGTGGTATTCTCGTGCATTTTTGCCGAGCTGTTTCCTAACGCTCTAAAGTCTAACACGGCATGCACGGCGTTCAGATGGGAAAGAGCAGCATAGAGGGGCTGTTATTACACGAATAAAACGGGAGAGGTCTCACTAAGGTTTTCCCTACGGACACCTCCCGTGCTGCTCCAGTGCCATCTACCGACAGGTTCTTAGGCCGTCGCTTTTCACAGGAATGGACTTGTTTGCTTTGGTAAAACAATCTGCCACAATCCTTCCGAAGTTAGAGAAAATTTCATTTCCTGCAGGCATTGTGGCAGCAACTTCCAAGTTGCGAACAGCAACTGTGTTTGTAACTACTGGAACAATCTCCTTTGGACTGCTTTCCCATTCACAGAACAGTTTTATGAATTGTTTTAGTATGCTCAATTCACATAAAGCAGAGAATTATTTATTTATTTATTTATTTATTTATTTAATCTTAACATATATGAAGAATCACATTAATTTTGAAAAAGCATCTGGGGGGAAAAGAGCAGTTTGAAACTGGAAAACAGATTTAACAGTGGGTAACAGATTTAACAGATTTAACAGTGGGTAACAGCTCCAGCAAGCAAGAGCTGTTACCCACTACTAATTTGTTCTTGAGCTATGACAGCAAATTGCTGAGCTTGTGCTATTTTAAATTCCCACATAGGCAGAAAGGATCCCTGTTCTGCCAGACTCACTTCAGCAGTAGGAGCATGCTTGGCTGGACATAAGGATTTTCTGTATACAGAGTTCAAACAGGTTAGCAAGAAAAGATTTAGGGGCCATACCTCAGAAAGGGTGAAAGCTGGGATTAGGCAAATCACAAAGCTGTGCTTTAGTGTAGATGTGGTGCAAACAGAGGCCTTCAGGGGCTGCATTATGCCTGGCACTCCTGGGTCTGGGGTTCCTGAATATCATCTTCCTTTCCTTGCTTACACTGTCCATAATGGTAAGCCTAGTTAGACAAGCATTTTGCAGCTGAAGCAAATTCCATCCTTTGGATTTTATAATCTATTCATTAGAGCCTCCTCTTGTTTGATTCTTTATCCTTAAATGCATACATTAATCATCCCTGGTAAAGTAAATACTTATTACAGTGGGAGAGCTGTTAACAGTAAATCTGTAAAGTAAAAGTGTAACAGTGGCTTTACCATTCTGTTCCTTAAACTCATTCTCAGCCAGTTTTCTTTAATGGTCATTTTAAAAGATTATTTGTGCACATCATTGGTAAGAAGTCAAAACAACAAGCCCACAGATGTTTGTTATCAGAACTGAACCTCTGATCAGCATGGTTCTGAGTCAGCAAAGCTTGTACCAGGCCAACTCTGGAAAAAGGATGTATAAGGCACCTAAACCCAAAACTGCACACCAGCACTTTTCCAGTGAGCTCTCTGAGATCCATGAATGGGACAGAATGGTTTCCACCCCTCCTGCAGGAAACAGGGCAGATTAAATCCTGGCAAAGAGCAGTCATGATTACTTTTCTCTTGAAACCCTGCCAGTTAAACTTTTCCCCGACTTATTTCTGTCATTCAGGATTCACAAAAAATAAGTATTTGCTTCCAGCCTAGTTTGTGCTCCTCTTCACCTGAGCATCCCTCTGGGCTGGGTCTGGGTTAGGTCATACATCTCCTCCTCTCTGCATATTCTGGCCCTGCAGTGAGGAAAAAGTTCAGGGCTGGAGGGAAGATAAATGCTGTAATCTGGAGAGTAACAAACTGCAGGTTTGCCAAGGGACCAATCACTTCTGAGAGACAATGAGCAACTTGCAGTTCTGACTGCTGCTGTCAGCTTGTTCCTCCGTGCTCAGTGCAAAAAGTGACTCCATTGACTTTGGTTCAGAACTTAAATGGGTGAATAATATCTCCTCTGCTTTTGAGTCAACCCATTTGTGTGAATGCAGGAAGACTGCACTGCACTTCCCTGTGTTGGTTGTTGTTTGCACTCCAGTTCTCTGACACTACTCGACCCTTCTCGGCTGCTGCTGTAGGGAAAAATCTTACCCACACATGCTGGTTTCTAGTGACTTACTGGATGCTTACTGATCCTGTAATGTGATTATTGCCTTGGGCAGAGAGGGGAATGGGGGCAAAAGTGATGTTTCAGAGACTGGAAATTGATGTTCCTGTACCACCATACAATTTGCAGAATCTTGCTGGAGTGAACAGAACTGTTGAAGAAGGGTTTGGAATGTTTTTTTGAAAGATGTGTACCTGTGCTACAGAACCTGCATCTGGAACTCAAATATTTCCATTTTCTGGTCCTTTTTTAGATTCCAAGATGAACTTGGATGATTTCATCAGTATGAATCCTGAAGTGGGATGGGGCTCAGTGTTCTCCCTTTCAGACTTCGTGCATCGATTTGGCAGTCAGGCTGATTACAGCTATTCCTTGGAAGGACAGTAAAGTGAGCAAAGTTCCTCTGGTTCTGAGTGGATATGTTTTGTTTTGCTGCTCTTACATTGTATTTATGGTTTACATTTCTGTACATGTATGTACATGTACATACTTCTGTGCAGTAGGTATTTGGAAAAATAGAACACCCAGACAGAAATATCATGAACTGAATAAAAATCTTTATTTTAATTATATAAGAATGCACTTAGTTTTTAATGTCAAATCAAAGGCAGACATGCCACCATAAGCATATTGCTTTTCCAGCTACTGTGCTGAAACTGAAAAGAGCTGCATATTTGGAAAAATATGTGCATAAAATACTGAATATTGTAGCCTAAATTGCTACATGTTGTCACATTTTAAAAGTGAGATATGGTTTTCTTCATGTTGTGATTGCTGTCAATTATAGACAGTGCAGCTCAGTTGCCTCACTAGCTTTACTGATTAGTCCACGTTTAGCAGAAGTGTAAAGGGAAAATTGATTTAGTAGTTCAGTTGTGAACTTCCATGCACTGTGTAAAACCAGGTAAGTATCCAGGTTTCTGTGCTGTGCCAGAGGAGAATTAAATCCTTCCATTTCAGTGAAATGTTCCAGTGCTGACAGTTCCTGGAAGATGCAGTTGCTATTTTTTGCTTGTCCTGCTGGCTGTGCATTCTCACCTGCTCCCATTTTCTTGCATTTGGTGTTTGTTTGGCCTTGTGGTAATTCAGGGTAATTCTGACAGAAAGAAGGAAGTTTTGTTGAGGGGTTTTTTTTTTGCTTCTTGGTTCCTTGAGCTGGCCTGCCTTGAGGTCAGACAGCTGCTCCTGCTGGTGTAAGGAAATCAGCAGGGCCATATGGCTGGGGGGAAGGGAGTGAGAAAGCCTCCCTGTTCAGGGCTGTCTGCTGCTGAATATCCTCAGAGGTGATACCAAGCTGCATCCCTGCAGGCATCCCAGGAAAGCCATCGTGCTGACTGAGGGTTTGGAGCAGTCTCACACTTCTTAGAAGAGTGCATTAAACATGGAATTGCAGAAACAGGCTAAAATGAGGTCTTTAATTCTCAGTTTTGGACCTATTCTACTTTATACTCTAGCACATCACAGGCTCACAGACTGGTAGAAGAATACTGGTTAGAAGGGTCAGGCAGTCCCTGGTCCAATCTCCTGTTCAAATCAGCTCAGACCAGGTTGCTCAGGGCTTTAGCCACTCAGGCCTTGGAAACCTACTGGGATTGAGACTACAGTAAACATTTGTGATATATTTCATTCCTGTGAAGAAAAGCACAATAAAGATTTTAAGTATTAAGGGGTCATTTTATTTGTAAGTAAAGAAAAATATCGAAACTTGTAAGAATCTTGTATACATTACCTAGGTTTATTGTTACATACATAGTGTATTACATGGG